ACACACACACACATACACACACACACACACACACACAGAGAGAGAGAGAGAGAGAGAGAGAGAGAGAGAGAGAGAGAGAGAGAGAGACAGATAAGTTTATATTCTCTTGACCCATTAAGTAATTTTGTGGTTTTAGCTATTTTATACTGCCAGGGAGTCTCTGAGTTGCCAGATTCATTCCTATTCCTTGTTTTTTTTTTTTTTTTTTTTTTTTTTTAAAACAAAGCCTGAAGACTAGGAAATGGATAGAAAGAACAAAAGCTACGATGAGCTACTCTCAGGAGGCAAGCAATGATCTCACAATATAACAATAAAGGTTTCCAGACTCCCTGAGAGAAAGGGCAGAAGCAGTGGATTGAAGGAGAGTAAGTACCAGAGTGTGAATGTGGAGCGAGTCTAGTCAGATGGGAAATGGTGAGGATTTCAGGAGCTATGGGTGATTTTGAAAGAGATGGTGGAGACTAAGCAGTGAGTGTGAGTGCTCACAGAGTGAGACAGAGTGGTGTTATTAGAAAATGGGAGGGGGAGCCGGGAGGTGTTAATGGTAATTGGCATGAACTGTCTTCTTGGCTTTTCTTTATTTCCTCAGTGAATAAGTGACAGACAGGCCTTCCCAGTTATAAATGAGATGTCGCTCCAGGTCTGAACTCATGGGTGTACCCAGTGCAGTTTCACCCACAGAGCAAGCATCCCAATGAGTACACTGGCAAAGGGATGCTTTCCAACAGGCTCCCAAGCACCTTAGGTGCGAGCTTCCCTTTTCCTTTGTGTTTGGTTTCTGTTGTTGTTGTTGTTTGGGTTTGTTTTTATTTTTCTCTTCTTTTCACATGGCCTAGCTTGTAAAGTTCAGACCTATGAGTTAGATGCCCTGAATGTTAGAACTGGAGGAACCACCAGCTACTTTAGGATCTCAAATCATTTATGTCAGGTAAAAATCCACCCTATTTCCAAGCACAGAATAATAAAGTCACACATTTTACATGGATTGGTTAACATTTATGCATTGATTGTCTGTCATGGTAGTTTGGAAGAAAACGGCTCCCAAAGGGAGTGGCACTATTAGGAGCTGTGGCTTTGTTGGAGTGGGTGTGGTCTTGCTGGAGGAAGTGTGTCACTGTGGGGGTGGGCTTTGAGGTCTCCTATGCTCAAGCTACACTCAGTGACACGGTTCATTTCCTGTTACCTTTGGGTCGAGATGTGGAACTCTCAGCTCCTTCTCTAGCACCATGTCTGCCTGCATGCTGCCATGTCTGTTTATGATGATAATGGACTGAACCTCTGAGACGGAGAGTGAGGCTCCTCAATTAAAAGTTTTCCTTTATAAGTGTTGCTGTGGTCGTCATGTCTCTTCACAGCAATAAAAACCCTAACTAAGACAGATGTCTATAACATTAAAACTTCAGAAGAATCTTCCTTGAGGGGGTTTTGATTAGATAAGACATAGAAAATTTCATAATGGTGAACAATCACTGCTGCATTTACTGTTATTGTTTTGGTATTTGTGGCATTGTTAATTCTGGAAATATTTTTTTTTTAATTTTTGAAATGAATATATAAAAGGTTCCTCCATGCTTCCTTCTATTCCTACAAAATAATTTCTGGGCAGGGCAGTGGTGGTGCACACCTTTAAACCCAGCACTTGGGAGGCAGAGCCAGACAGATCTTTATGAGTTCAAGGCCAGCCTGGTCTACAGAGTGAGATCCAGGACAGGCACCAAAACTAAACAGAGAAACCCCTGTCTCAGAAAACCAAAATAAATAAATAGATAGATAGATAGATAGATGATTTCTGTAACTCCTAGGTTTAAGAAAACTTCCCACAAGAAGCAGACACTAGTCCATGAAAAAACTAGGTATCAATTCATGTGTCTTACAAATGCTTAAGTTATTTGAAAAAGCTACTCACTGGCTCTGAGAAAATGAGCATGGAGGATCTGGCCCCACCCTTCATCTGCCATATGGTGGTATGGGTGGGGTGAGGGGTGTGCTTCCCCCTGCCCCTTGCAGCCTGTGGCAGGTGGGAGAGCTGGCCCTGAGGTCATAAGAATAGGAGAGCTGTCCCTGCCCCTCACCAGCTGCAGCACTCAGGAGAGCACCTTTTCTCCTAACCTGGGCAATACAGTAGATCTGGCTCTTCTGGTATAGGCTTGGGTGAGAGCAGGAGAATGGCCCTGCGCCCTTGCTCCTTGCTGCAAGGGATGAACTAGCGGGGCAATGCAGGAGAGCTCACCCTGGTAGTAAGGACTTGGGGAGAGCTGGAAAGCCAACCAACCCTGCAACTACCCAGGCCTAGAACCAGGGTTATGAGTTGGCCCAGCATAACATTCATCCCACCTATGATCTGCTGGAGCACTTGAAGGGACTGGTCTTGAAGACCCAAAGCTGCAGGATCTCCATGACACAGGGCAGCAACAGGGTATCCAAGAGGAGGTTCATTGGGGGCCCAGTATCAATAGTGTAGCAGAAACCAGAGACCTTGAACCAGACCAAAGACTCTTTGCAATAAACACTTGCAAGTAAAAAGATAAAGGGGTTTACTACATGACTCACTGTGTCACACTAAAGCTTCCATGATGAGATTTTTCTTTTCTTTTCTTTTTCCTTTTTTTCTCTTAAATTTTATTTTATTGATGGGGGGTGGTTTACAAGGGCAGAGGGCAAATATGAAGAGACAGGGAGATGTATGAGATGAAGATGCATGATATGAAAGACACAAAGAATAAATTTTAAAAATTCTAAATAAAATAAAAGAAAGAAAAGAAAAAGCTACTCTCTGGAAAGGGCTCAGAACTCACTTATCATGTGCTTCAGCACTTTGGTCTTACTGAGGACAGCTTGGACACTAAATAAAGGAGTGGGAGTTTTTCTCTTTCCACCTGTCAACTAAACTCCACTTGAGCCACTTAGGGCATACCTAAGGATCTGGAGACTCTGGTACATAGTTCTACCCTTATGTGAAAATATAGCATATTTGTCTTCTTGATCTCCGCCTTCCCATCTTCATCCTGTGTTTGGAGATGTGGAAACACAAATTCTGCCACTGGAAGCAGACCTCCTTTGAGAACTTCAGAACTGTCCTCATTCCTTGATTTGCTTGGGAACATCTTAGCCACGGGAATGCAGCACTGATGGAATTGTTGATTGGTCCTATGACATATCAGAGTCTTTAAAGACATGAAATTAAAAAAGAAAGAAAAAGAAAGAAATCAACATTGTTCTGAAAGAAAGGTAGTTAAAATTCAGAAAGAGAGATTCTTTAATTAACTTAATAAAATTACTAATGGAAGCATTTTAACTGCTAAATTTAATTTACTTGTCAAGATATCAGGCTACAAAGAGGAGGGAAGAGTCGGAAGTCTGCTTCCCATTATGATGTACTCTACTATAGAATAAATTTGCTTAAAATGAAATATATCACCAAAAGCCATCAATGACATCTTAATTTGGAACAGCCAGTTGAAAAGTAATTAGACTACGAAGCAATCAGTTCTAGCAAATCAGGGTTTCCCCTTACATAAACATACATTTTTCCTATTTATACCCAGGAAAGACTAGGCTTGCAGGTAGCAGGCAGGCAGGGGTGCTGGCTCTTCTGATCGGTGTTTCTACTTACATTACCAGGCTGTCAAAACAAAAGGTTTTATGATGGGATTAAAAAATGTATAAGCATCCGATTTGATTTAGTGTTTATATTTTTATGTTGAACTAAGGAAACTTTGCTTATGATTGGATTTTAAAGATTTACATTTGTCTCTCTTCCTTCCAAAATGCTTTCCAGATCCACTGGCAACCCCAACACCTTACTTCAACAAGTGAAATTCAGTCGAATATCAAAAGGCCCACTTAGTTCTCCCTTCAGGGTCCCTCCTACTCTCCTAAACAAAAGTGGTGAGTGTAGCTGCTAATGAGACAGGGCCTAGAGGAGGTGGGAGTGGCTAAAAGGATTCTTTGTTTAATATCCGAAGGTTCGCCATGAGCTGTTTCTCACATAGTAACAGACCTAGACGTGTAATTGTCAGCTTATTAGCATAAAAAACACTCTGATAAGAGAGGTGGGTGAAACAGAATAATTTATATATGGTTTGGTTATGAAAAGTTAGCAAAGAGGAGAACAAACGGTATCTATCAAAGGACTTCATATAGGGGAACGTTTTTGAGTGTGTCTTCCCTAAGCACCTTGATCCTCAGGAAGGTGTTTTCCTGTCCACATTACAGACATGGAAATGGAGGCCCTGGGAGGTTAAGGGTTTTGTGGAAACAGCAAAGGTATTTAATGGGAGAGCGGGGCTAGAAAGAGCACTTATGGGCTCCTGGTACTTTCTTCACAACATCTGGTTGTGATGATGGAATCCCATCTGTTATCTGTTGAGGGGAAGAGGTGTGAGAAAA